CTTTAGAGCTGTGTTAGAAGAGGACAGGGGACAGCCAGGTGATCCACAAATACAGGGGAAATGAATGCAGGTGTCAGACCAAGGGTACAATCCCTGCCTGAACCTGACAYATTCCCTTATCTAAAAGGGACAAAGGACACTGTGAGCTTCAGCCATGAGGCATTCCCAGACTCAGGCACGAAAAATTGTGTTTTGCACCCGAAAAAGAAAAGAAAAACAAGTAAATCTCTTTCTCTGTTTGTGTTTTTCTCACATCCCATGACTGAGCTAGAATTATTTAGTGATGAACTTTCTGCCCTGGCTGGTTGTCTCTAAGCAYTGGCTGGCATTAGGAGGGTTAGTATAAAAATACTTTAAAGARCAGCTCTTCCTTCTCCCTGCTGCTCCCCTACTTGTGAGATCCACGAGTCCAGCACAGCAGGAGTACAGCAAGGAGCAGCCTGTTTGGCTCCATCCATCATCAGCAAAACTGTCAGCTCAGCTCCAGCAGCAAAATCTTTATTACTGGTTATGATGCAAAAGGCAGGAACCACACGGTCTGATTTCCTCAGATCTGAGGCTGAGTTTGCAGTAGGCAGCAGTTGGAGGGGAAATAATTTTGACTTTTCCCTGAGCCAATTTGATCTGGAAATTGTTGAGAGCAAATAAATATGGAATCCCACCGTGGCATTTCTGCAGTCACTCTCCAGCTACAACCACTTCTCTTTTTCTCCTGAGCATCAGTGATTGGTATTTGGCACATGTAAAGAATCAGCTAATCCTCACAGCCATGCCTGACTTATCAATTACACAACTCCTACCTTTCCCAGAGGTCAGCTTAAGAGATGAATAATCCCTTCCAAAATTTCCCAACCTGCAGCGTGGGGAGATTTGTTATTTGGCTTTCGGCAGCTTTCCTGGAAAGGTCAGAGTGCTCCCAGCCCTTGGCTGCCCACAGGAGCACACAGCAGCCTATCCCAGACTGTTTTCCAGGTGACCAACRACCTTTAGCAGCAAATACAGGTGCTCTCTTTTTTATTTCTCCAGAAAACAACTGTTAACCGACCCTGACCTGTCCTCACAGGTAAAGGTACCTGTACACACATCAGCCCAGCTCCCTGCAGCTCTTGCTCCTCTCTACAGGCTCCCACGAGCCACTTCCATGGGCTAATCCCCCTCTTTTCCTCTGTGCACCACGAGGAAACAGCGCTCAAAGCACACAATGAGCGAGGCAGACACAGCCCAGCCCGGCTCCTCGCTCTGCAAACAGCAGCAAAGTGGGAGAGGTCACAGAGCTTCCCACTCCAAACTCTATTTTTTAAGCAGGGAAAGTCTAGCAGAGCTGACACTTTCCACTCAGAACAGCCAGACATATCCTCTTCTTCAGATGAAGCATCAGGCAGCTCAGAGGTGGTGGGAAAGAATGAACCCCAGCTCGGATTTCTGACCAGAATTCCTCAGAGCAAAGGGTCCYGTGGAGAACAGAAAGCTCCAGGTCTCTAGGCTGGACGTCACCTCTGAGCATCTTTGATCATGCACCAGTTTTT